GACCAGGATAAATAAAATATATGGTTTCGGGAAATTCGGGCGGCCCCGCTCCCGGTGTGGGTCCCACGTGCGAATTTATTATTTCACGCAAAAGAAATATTAAAAATTCACCACATCGTATATTCATTAACCATTCCATAAGGTTCAATACATTATACTCTTAAAAGTAAATACATTTGGGGACGGTGTTACAAGTTCACCCCCCCTTATTTGGGATTTCGTCCCCGAAATCCACGTGTCTAACCGAAAAGAAACGGGTATTGCTCCCTCATTGAGACCTCAGTCTCCCACGTTTCTTCTTCGACTCGATCACTCCTCCAAAGAACCTTCACCATAGGAATCTCCTTGTTCCTGAGCTTCTTCACCTGTTGACCCACAATCTTTACCGGTTCCACCGCATATTGTAGATCTTCACGTATCTCCACCGGTGGCTTTTCAAGAATATGAGACGGATCTCTCACGTACTTCTTAAGCATCGATACATGAAACACGTTGTGTATCTTCTCAAGTTCTGGTGTCAACTTGAGACGGTATGCCACAGCCCCTATCCTTTCAAGGATTTCAAATGGACCAATGTACCTGGGGTTAAGCTTTCCCCTCGATATGAATCGGATGATACCCTTCCAAGGAGAAATCCTTAAGAAGACCTTATCACCGACCTCAAACTCCAATGGCCTGCGTCGTTTGTCGGCATAACTCTTTTGCCGATCTTGGGCAGCCTTGAGTCTGTCCTGAATGACTTTCACCTTAGCCTTGGTGATTTCAACAAGTTCAATCCCTTCGAGCTTGGCCTCGCCAACCTCGTCCCAACACAACGGTGTTCTGCATTTCCTCCCATACAATGCCTCATATGGAGGCATGCCAATACTCGCCTGATAACTGTTGTTATAGGCAAACTCAACTAGAGCCAAATGTTTGTCCCAACTTCCTTGGAACTCCAGAGCACATGCCCTAAGCATGTCCTCCAATATCTGTATCACTCTCTCAGATTGTCCATCCGTCTGTGGATGAAAAGCCGTGCTAAACCTCAGTTTAGTACCCAAAGATGCTTGAAACTTGGGCCAAAATCGAGATGTGAATCGTGGATCCCTATCCGAGACAATGGATATCGGGACTCCATGTAGTCTCACAATCTCTTCCGTGTATAACTTTGCCAATCTTTCAAGAGGATAAGAAATGTTGATAGGCAAAAAGTGTGCACTCTTAGTGAGCCTATCAACCACTACCCATACTGCATCGTAGTTGTTCACTGTTCGTGGTAGCCCCACCACGAAGTCCATGGTAACATGCTCCCACTTCCATTCTGGAATGGTCAGTGGCTGCAAAAGCCCCGCCGGGTGCTGATGCTCTGCCTTAACTTGTTGGCAAGTAAGGCATCGACTCACGTACTCTGCGATGTCTCTCTTCATACCCGACCACCAGTAACTTTCCTTCAAGTCTCGGTACATTTTAGTACCCCCTGGATGCATAGCATATGCCGAAGAATGAGCCTCCTCTAGTATGGACTTTTGGAGCTCCTCACTCTTTGGTATGCATACACGATCTTTAAACAGTAAAAGACCGTCATCACGTACCCGAAAGTTCTCCACGGGCCCTTCAAGGATCCTCTCGCGGATCTTCTGGCATTCTTCATCAGTGGCCTGACATCTACTGATCTCACTCAGCAATGTAGGCCTAACCTCAAATCTAGCAATGAGGGCCCCACTCGTGGACACCTCCACTTGTGCCCTCAAAGTTCGTAGACATGTGAGTAATGTCCCCGACGTACTTTTCCTGCTCAGTGCATCGGCCACTACATTGGCCTTTCCGGGATGATAGTCGATGATCAAGTCATAGTCCTTGATCAACTCCATCCATCTCCTTTGTCTCATATTCAACTCTTTCTGAGTGAATACGTACTTCAAGCTCTTATGATCGGTAAAAATGTGACATGTCTCCCCATAGAGGTAATGCCTCCAAATCTTTAGTGCAAACACTACCGCCCCCAACTCTAGATCGTGGGTAGGGTAGTTCGCCTCGTGTTTCTTCAATTGCCTAGACGCATAGGCAATCACCCGACCGTTTTGCATTAGTACACATCCAAGCCCTTGGATGCTAGCATCACTGTATATGTCATACCCTATCCCTTGTGTGGGTAGAGCGAGAACCGGTGCTTCCGTAAGCCGTTTCTTTAGTTCGAGAAAGCCTTTCTCACAATTGACGTCCCATATGAACTTGGCCCCTTTCTTCGTGAGCTTTGTTAATGGAGACGCCAATACGGAGAATTTTTCAACAAACTTACGATAGTATCCCGCTAAGCCAAGGAAACTACGTATCTCTTTCACATTTTTGGGTCTCCCCCAATTCATAATGGCTTCTATTTTGGCTTTATCCACTGAAATGCCCGAACTTGACACGACATGCCCGAGAAACCCAATCTCTTTGAGCCAAAACTCGCATTTAGAGAACTTGGCAAAGAGTTGTTTTTCCCTTAGTCGTTCAAGTACCAGACTCAAATGATCTTCATGCTCCTCTTCACTCTTGGAGTATATCAAAATGTCGTCAATGAATACTATCACAAATTGATCTAAGTATTCACTGAACACACGGTTCATCATGTCCATGAATGCCGCCGGTGCGTTGGTTAGACCAAATGACATCACCAAAAACTCGTAGTGACCATATCTCGTGCGAAATGCACTCTTAGGTATGTCACTCTCCTTTATCTTCAACTGATGATACCCCGACCTTAGATCAATCTTCAAAAATACTGTTGCCCCTCGAAGTTGATCAAACAAGTCATCAATCCTCGGTAAAGGGTACCTATTCTTGATCGTGACCTTGTTCAACTGTCGGTAGTCTATACACATTCTTAGTGTACCATCCTTCTTCTTTACGAAGAGTACGGGTGCTCCCCACGGTGAATGACTGGGTCTAATGAACCCGTTGTCCAATAGCTCTTGGAGTTGAACCTTCAACTCTTGAAGCTCGGCCGGTGCCATTCGATAAGGAGGAATCGAGATGGGTTTGGTTCCCGGCTCCACTTCAATCACGAATTCGATCTCTCTGTCGGGTGGAAGCCCCGGCAAGTCTTTGGGAAAGACATCCGGATATTTGCACACGACACGTACATCGTTGATGTTAACCTCCTTCTTTGCTTCATCCACCACGTAAGCAAGGTATGCGTGGCATCCCTTCTTCATCATCTTCCGTGCCCTCATCACGGATATTATGCAACTATGAGATCCTCCCCGATCTCCCTCGAAACGTAGAGTGTTTCCCTCAGCATCCTCGAGTTCCAAAACCTTGGCATAACAATCCACTCGAGCATGATGTTTCTCGAGCCAATCCATCCTTAGAATTGCATCGAATTCTAACATACTTAGAGGTACGAAGTCACAAGTCAAAGGTTGACCCGTCACTTCTACCTCACACGAAGGATAGTAGTGTTTCCTCTCCACATCGTCTCCCAACGGTGTAGAGACCAACAAGGGTTGTGTCATTACTATCAACGGCACGTCTAAACTTTCGGCAAACGCTTCACTCACGAATGAACGTTGTGCCCCGGTATCAATGAGAATTCTTGCGTTTCTACCATTGATCTTTAATGTTCCTACATATATAAGTCATGTAAGACACACCACCCAACGTGCCGGATCGAAACGGGGCTTAACAAAAACATTTCGGGTGAAAATACATTGGACCGGCGCCGGTTTGACTTCGGGGTGGCCGGATACACGTAAATTGAACTGGACCGGCGCCGGTTATGGCCAAAACCGGCGCCGGTTTACCATCGGCAACTTCGAAAAAATGTTTTTCTTCAAAAACCGGCCCCGGTTACGAGCACGGTGATTTTTCCGACCTCTTTTCCCCTAGACCGGCGCCGGTTATGGCCAAAACCGGCGCCGGTTTTGCTACGGCGTCTCCCGGAATTCGATTTTTAATAGGCTTAAGTCACCCCGACCCTTGACCGGCGCCGGTTATGGCCCAAAACCGGCGCCGGTTTACCCACGGCAACCCCAAAACGGGCGTTTTTAATTAGAACCGGCGCCGGTTTAAGCCTCGACCGGCGCCGGTTTACCCCTGGGCAGTTTATTTTTGCAACTTTTTGCTAGGAAACCGGCCGGTATCGGCCCTGGCGAGCCCGTACAAACCCGCTATCACTTTTAGCACTCAATACATGTAATTTATCAATCGTTACAAAGGATTACCTGCAACGGAGTCGGGGTTGGCCCGAGCGTCGGCCTCGGTCATTGCGTAGACTCTAGCTTGAGTCCTTCCTTGGTTCACGGACGGCGCGTTGCTTGTGCTCGCTCCCCCTTGCCCCATACTAGCATGGGGTGCTCCGCTTCGGTTCCTACTTGCCGTGGTAGCGCCGCTTGATCCCACCCCTCGGTTCCCACCAAGTTGAGGGCAATTTGGTTTAATATGCCCCGTGTCTCCACATTGGTAGCACCGAGGAGGGTCACGACACTTACCCCCATGGTTCCTGTTACAATTCCTGCATCTAATCATCATTGGGGCTTGCGAGCCCGAGGTTTGTCCACCCGTGCCTGAGCCTCCCCTAGATGGTGGTGCCGGTGCCCTGAATGATCCTCCTCCCCCATGGTTCCCTTTCTTATTAGAACCTTGGGGGCCATGGCTCTCCCATTTCCTCTTCTTTGCCTCCTCGGCGTCCCTCTTCTTCCTTTCCTCCCATTGCTTTTCTCCCTTCAACCCCTGGGCAACCACTTGGCTGAAAGTCATGTTGGGCAATTGAGTCGCCCTATCACGTATCTCCAAGTCCAAGGCCTCCCAAAAGTGATTCACCATTCGGTTCTCATCACAAGCATACTCCGGTATGTGGTCGGCAAGGTCCCTGAACTTATGCTCAAGTTCTTTCACCGTCATGTTACCCCCTTGGGTCAAAAGAGTGTACTCCCTCACTTTGGCGTTTACCTCAAAGTCGGAGTAGTATTGGGCAAAGAATTCTTGCCGAAAATCCTCCCAAGTAACCGTCCCGCCATACTTACCCTTGGTTCCATCCCACCACTTGGATGCTAACCCTTCAAGTAACCTCACCGCGATTCTCAATTTGAAATCGGGGGTGAGTTGCATGTCAAGGGCTGCCTCGTTCAGCCTCTTGATCCACTGCGCGGCAACTGAGATGTCTCCCGTCCCATCGAACGGTTTACACCCCAAGTCTCTCGCCTCCTTGATGTATTTGGAGATCCTTATGGTTGGACCTCCATCACCACGGCTCCCATGCGCTTCTACATGGGTCCTCGAATCACAGTAGCTCCTCCCTCTTGGAGCCCCGCCCGAAGGTGGCCCTGCACGGCGCCTTCGGCGTTCTCTCCTTTCCTCACGCTCCCGATGATATTGTTGGAGCAGTGCTTCAATCCTAGCCAAGGAGCCATTTTCCTCCTCGTCACTAACATCGTCGTCATCCCCTTCATAAGGGGTCTCAACCGGCTCAGTTTCCGGCCGGTAGGTCGAGTCCTCATAAGACCAATAGGTCTCGCTTTCCGTATCGACGTGGCCATCGCTCACGGTTTGTTGTTGTCGGCCTCCGCGGCCTCTTCCTCTTGATCCCCTAGAGGACCCCCGGCTACCGCGCTCGGACCCACCCGGCACACGGCCCGTCGGGTTCCTCCTAGTGATCCTTCCAACTGGTTCCATTTCTGAAAGAAATTAGAATGAGTCATTAGACTCGTATCAATGTCAAATGACGGATAGGCACTTAAAGACATCCTTTGGCTCAAATCACTGTCATACCAATTGTTAAGGGTACCATCTTAACAATTAGAGACTTTGCAACTCAAGTACCAAAAGTTCTTTAAGTACAAAACTTTTATGCTCATGGTTTTCAAATTTGTTTTCAAAAAAGAGATTTTGAAGCTTCATTATGAAGTTTACGGACTAAGGCTCTGATACCAATTAAATTGTCACGCCCCGGACCTAACCGGACACGTCAACAACCCGCCGTACAGTACGAATAGTCAACTGCAGTCCAACACATCCATACTATACAAGGCGTCTGGAATATCATTCACACATAGTACATCCATAAACAAACATAATGTAAAATATTCATTCAAGCAGCGGAAACATTTAATACAAGTGTTCGTGCCACATTCTGGCAAACATGGGCATACAAGCCCTCAAATGATTATTCAAAAATATAATATCCATGAGCATTAATTTAAATGTTTTTTTTTTAAACAGGAACGGAAGAAGCACGAACCACGTCTCCCTCCTTTGATCTTCCCGAAGCAACGGGCGGTGGTAGCAACCTTCAAGTTCTACCTGAAACTGTGAGGTGGCCTCCCCCGTGAAGGGGAGGTCAGTACTTGGAAGCATTTGACAAGTACAATGACAACTATACTAAATATAATCAAAGTTTCAATTTCCAAGACCCTCGATCTAGGGTGTTATTATATCGTGGTTAACTTTATTCGTTTAGTGTCAATTCATCATTACTTATCACGGTCTAGAGCCCAGCTCAATAATCACCGTTACCTACTACGGTCTAGAGCCCAGCTCAATAATCACCGTCATCTACATCGGTCTAGAGCCCAGCTCAATAATCACCGAAAACTACTACGGTCTAGAGCCCAACTCAATAATCACCGTTATCTACATCGGTCTAGAGCCCAGCTCAATAATCACCGATAACTACTACGGTCTAGAGCCCAGCTCAATAATCACCGTTATCTACATCGGTCTAGAGCCCAGCTCAATAATCACCGATTCTTTACAATTCAGTTTCTTAGGATCCATTCATCCATTATTCAACTACAAATCCAACTAATATTTCAATACTAGTTATTTACTCATTTCAATGTAATTCTTCATTCAATATGTAAATTGGGCCTCAATATCAAAATATCACTTTTATTCCTTCATGGCTTCTTCTCATGAAATAAAAGTATACTTATCACAAATGGGATTTATGGTTGATACTACTATCATGCCATCATATTCATAACATTTAGACATACACAATTTATTCAATAAATTTGTATATTATGCAAACTATACTTATAATCAATAGTAATTTCATTTAGGCATTATTAACCATTAATAATCCATGCAAATCACATTGTGTATTCATTTAGGAAATCTTATGAAATTAACCCAAAGATTATAAGCAATATAGTCGGTCATCCTCACCTTAAGTGAGCTTAAGCGTGTTCTACGCTCCGCGGTCGAACTTGGACTAATTCCGGTGAACTTTGACCAACTCCGGCCAACTTTGACCAACTCCGGCGAAACTCCGGCGAAGCTCAAAGATACTCTATATCAAGTTCCTAACAAGGTTTTAACATCATAAAACCTTAATCAATACTCATAACCCTTAAAAGGTTATTTTCCAGTGAACCGGTCGGTTTGGCTTTTAAGTCCGTTCTTGGACTTAGAACTACTCCCCAACCCATTATTCCACACTATTGGCATGTGGAACAACCTCAAGGGTTCTCCATATGATATACATCTCATATGGTAGAAGAAAATTTAAGAAAAAGTTATGATAAGGTCATTACCTTAATCCTATCACACTTTTAGCACTTTAGTTCCTTCCCTTGGGATTCTTTCTTGTGGAGCTTTCTTCAACAATGGAGAATGAAGATGGAGAATTTGCTTGGCTCTTTCTTGGAGGTGCTGGCCGCAGGGATGAGGGAGAGAGTGGGTGAGGATTTTCTTTGTCTTGATCAAAATGAGTGAACAAAACAAAAAGAAATGGGAGCCCATGTGTACCTTTGATGCCTTTCCTCTCAACTCCAACATCTCCCATCCTTCCCTTCTCCATCCAGCCGCCCAAGTCTTGAAAAAATGTGTCCACATTCGTGGGTTGGCCCCCACCCATGTGGGAGGTCAACCCTTGTTGTCCAAAAGTGTACAATCGGTCCCGAAAGTTGTATTTTCGGACTGTTTTAAATATATTTTATTTTATCGGGTCAAATAAAATATATTATGTGTTCTTAATCATTATACCCTTTATAACGAATATGCATTCCCAAACTTTAATTTATAAGTCCCCGAAATTCAATTTCGGGCTTTTATCGGTTAAATTATCAATACCGATATTTGGGTTTCTTTTGACCAATCGGTCAACTCTGGACCTTTCCATGGTTCAAATGAAGTAGCCACCACTATATAAATATTATCTTGACCAGGATAAATAAAATATATGGTTTCGGGAAATTCGGGCGGCCCCGCTCCCGGTGTGGGTCCCACGTGCGAATTTATTATTTCACGCAAAAGAAATATTAAAAATTCACCACATCGTATATTCATTAACCATTCCATAAGGTTCAATACATTATACTCTTAAAAGTAAATACATTTGGGGACGGTGTTACATTTTTGTTCTCAAAGATTCACTTGGCAGCGAAGGGTCTTTTCTTGAAGATAACCTGCACAAAGGTAAACCACAAAAACTTCTGTTGCTTTCGTGTTCGTTTGTTGTTGTTGTTTTCTTTTTCTTTTTTTAAAAACAAAAGCATATGTTTGTAACTTGGCAATCAATTGCAACCCCTGATTCTTCAGAAAAGAAAACAATATCTATCCCCCACGGGCCGAAGTCGGAGGAACGAACAGCCCAAATTCAAGCGATCCCTGTTGAAGAACGCTGGTTTGCAAACCTGGTCGCTGAATCTCCAGGTATGCCCCCCCATTCTCACTCCTGATAGATCTGTCGGATTAAGGCGCTCTATTCGCAATATGAAGACTTCAATTAATCTGATGCAAGGCTCGTCTGTAGTCTCACTTGACGACTCAGATCAGGAATCAGACACTTCGAAAACTGGTGCCTGTGAGAATGCAGACATCTATACCCCAATGCAGGTCGTCTTTCCGGTAGGTGATAATCCTCAGATGGTTCCCAAGAAGTGTCCCCTTCCAGCTACTGGTAAGCTCAGTCACGCCCTTTGACTGGGGTTTCTCAATATGTGGTGCTTGCTTCATGATACTTGTGTGTTTGCAGCTGCCGCATCTTCGTCTAGCTCTCGTTTGGTTCCCTCTGCTCATGAACTGCTTGCCCTAGCTTCCCGGAAGAAAAGAGCCTCACCCAGATTAGCTTCTACTCCCTTGAAGATTCCTAAGGTTGCTGCGCCCATTGAGACCAAACCCAGCATTCCTCGGCCTCATGAAGCTAAGTCTGCTCCGGGTTCCAAGTTACTGGATGTAAATCTATCACTGTCCTCTGATTTTTGCAGTCTGCAAGATGTGTCTTTGATGAGGAGTGAAGTGCACAAGCTCCTGCTACCTTCTTCTTTGGATGTCTTCAAGTGTTTGCCCCCGGCTGGAGTGTTATCTGCATCGTCAGTTTATGCATTTCAGGTAAGTCCTCGCTTTACTGCTTTCTTTTCCCTTCTCTTGGAAACGACCTCCTCAAATGTAGTTGCATGATCCGTCAGAGTATGCAAGCGAGTCTGGTTGCCGCTGAGAGGGTGGTGATGCTAGAGAAAGCCCTTGATGAATCTAGGCGCAAGGAATCGGTTTCTCGTGCTTTAGCGGAGGATAATGCTAAGCTGGCCCGGGACCTTCAAGAAGAAATGTCAGCTCAATCCTCTCAAATCTCCAGGCTTGTTGACAGGGTTAAGGCTTTGGAAGCTTATGGGCGGAAGAAGAAACAAGAAGTCACTGACGCAGCTTGCTACTACGTCTGGCAGACCAGAGGAGATCTAATGGCCTCCTTTCTTGCGGGTGAGTCATCTCACTGGAACGCTGAAGAAGACATTGCTACTTGGAAAAAGGTTCATGAGGACATGGACCCCCTGTTGCTGAGGACGGCTTTGATGTGGGACACTCTGATGGCGAGGCTGACTCCCAACATGCTTAGGTTGCTTTGTACGCTTTGACATTTTTGCTAAGACATCTCTGATCTTGCTCCGGGTATCCTGGTGGTTTATCCAGGACGGGAAGTACCCTTGACTCTTTATGCCTGTGCACTTGGTGGTTTATCCAAGGCTTGACTTTCATTTTGATATGTTTGATGTGAAAACTTTGATGTGTCTGTTTTTGTATCCTGTGTGTGCGCACTAGTGCTGTATATATATGTGATGTCATGTATGTGCGTTGATTTTGGCCAAGAACATATATGTTGTAAGGGCCGGTTGGGACTGTAATCCATGATACTCTCATGGGCAGCCCAACCCTTTCCCTTTTTTTATGTTGATGTACAATACCCAATTGGTATAAATGATGCTTTTCATCCTTCGTAAATTGGTCCCCTGTCGCTTGTCTCAAGTTGACCCTGCACTCACCACAAACCGTCAAAGTTGGCCGTCGGCTTTGAGCCAACGGCCCTCCGATGGTTAAGTCAGTAAGCAATTGTGAATGTGTTTTAAGAACGAAATACACACCATACCTTTCACATGTTACGGCTTTCCTTGTTTACCATAGAGCACCTCTTTAAGTGAGCCAAGGACTTACCAGGTTAACAAGTACAGAGTATTTCGAAGGAAAATGTAAAGATTATTAGAGAGACAGCATTTAAATTATCTCTAACGTATTCTAAACCAATCATTACGACTTATACCTGATATGAAATTTTCCAGAGTAAACTCACTGATCCGTCAAGGATCAACTTGAAAGACAAGGCAAAACTTCAAAGTGACATGCAAATTAATCATGACGTTATGACAGATCCGTCATACCAGAAATGTCATGGCCCTTACCAGGATGTATGACGTATCCAAGGGACCCACCCAGCGCTTCGCTTGGCTTCCTGTACTTCAAAGTTTTGTTAGGTCTGGCCGTTGGCTTTTAGCCAACGGCCCTCCGATGATTAAGTTAGTGACTCGTCCGAACGAATAACTAAATAAGACACAAAAGAATTTAGAAATGGAAAAGTTTTAAGTGTACCGCATTCCAACTTCTAGGAACTTGTTTACCATCGACTGATTCCAAGCGGTATGCCCCCTGTCCAATAATGTCTACGATCTTATACGGACCTTCCCAATTGGGGCTGAATTTCCCACTTGCTTCATTTCCGAATGCTCTTCTCAAAACCCACTCTCCTTTCTTGAACACCTTTGCCCGAACGTTCTTGTTAAAACTCTTCGCCACCATTTGTTGATAGGACTGTAGACGGATCTTAGCTTTCTCTCTAATTTCGTCGATAGTGTCAAGATCATGTATTAACTCGACGTTGTTACGCTCTTCAGTCATAAGCCCGTATCTAGAGGATGGCACTTCAACTTCTGCTGGTATGACCGCCTCACAGCCATACACCAAGGAGAAAGGAGTCTGTCCGGTCGCATTCTTTGGAGTCGTTCTGTCAGCCCATAATATCAGGGGTAACTCGTCAGCCCATCTGCCTTGTGCTTTCTCAAGTCTTTTCTTCAAATTGGACACAATGATTTTGTTGCTAGACTCGGCCTGTCCATTGGATTGCGGGTACCTAGGAGTCGACGTCTCCAACCTGATGTTGTATCTTTCGCAGAAGCGTCGGGTTTTTGCACTTATGAACTGGGATCCATTATCACACATGATCTCCGACGGAATGCCAAACCTGCAAAGTATATTACGTCTAATAAAAGATATTACTTGTTCATCACGTACCTGACGGAATGGCTCAGCTTCCACCCATTTTGAGAAATAGTCCGTCATTGCCAACATGTAAACCTTCTGCCCTGGAGCTTCGGGCAGCTTTCCCACGATGTCCATTCCCCATTTCATAAAAGGCCAGGGTGAAAGGACCGGATGAAGTGATTCTGACGGCTGATGACGGATCGGACCGTGCTTTTGACAAGCCTGACAACTTTGGGTGAAGGTGATTGCGTCATGCCGCATGGTTGGCCAGTAGTATCCAAATCGGAGAGCCTTGTTGGACAGACTTCTCCCCGCGGCATGGTTTCCACACTCACCTTCGTGAAGATCTCTGAGCATTTTCATGGCTTCTTGAGGTGCTAAACATCTTTGGTATGGACCTGCTTTAGATCTTTTAAACAAAACATCATCGACTAATAAAAATTTAGTTACCTTGGAGAGGAATGCCTTAGCTTCCTTTTTGTCCAATGGCAAGACGTTATGTCTCAGGTATGCTATGTACGGCTGCATCCAGTCATCCTGTGAGGGCGGATTGATTGTGCAGACGGACTCCAACCTGTCACTTGCCGGACTTGTCAAGTGGACGAAAGGGATGTTACTATTGACCTCTGCCCCCAGACATGACCCAATCGCGGCCAAAGCGTCTGCCTGTGTGTTCTCTTCTCTTGGTACTTGTTCAAATGTGATCTCGTCGAACCATGCTATCAACTCCGTGACGATTTGCAGGTAGGACGTCATCTTGGGATCCTTTTCTGCGTAAACACCATTAGCTTGGTTAACTATTAACAAGGAATCACATTTTACCTGGAGTAGCTTGACACCTAAATCCTTTTCCAAAGTTAAGCCTACGATCAACGCCTCATACTCCGCTTCATTATTTGTGGCATTAAAATCACAATGAACGGCTTGGAGCATAGTGTCCCCCTGTGGTGACTTTAGTACTACGCCCAGGCCTGCTCCGTTTAAGTTCGACGCCCCATCCGTGTGTAATGTCCACCTTTGTTGGGGCAGAACGTCTGTGATGATGCATGCTTCTTTTTCGGCTTCGGTCTGGAGCTTAGGGCTAAAGTCCGCCACAAAATCAGCAAGCGTCTGGGACTTCAAGGCAGTTCGTGGCTCGTACCTAATGTCATAGGCTCCCAGCTGGATTGACCACTTGGCCATGCGACCTGACAACTCTGGTTTCCTCATGATTGATTTCATG